GGCAGGGCGTGGGGGTGGGTAGACGCCGGGGGAAGCCTGGAGCCCGTGGCACTGAAATGGACAGCAGCTCCAGGCCCTCAGCCCCTTGGCGGCCTCGGCCTCTGGCCTGCGCGGGGGGCTCTCGAGGACCGTGCCAGTCCCGCCGCTGTCGAGGCCTGTTTTGTTTTTCTTTCCCTCGTAAGGAGGCAGGTCTTTGGAGGAGGACGAGGGCGAGGAGGAAGAAGAGGGCGACGAGGAAACCCCCACTGGAAAGATCACGCCACTTACAACACCCGGGGAGCCCGGAGCGGGCCGGGGTTCTTCCCAAAAGGAGGCGGGCAGTTGCCTTTTCCTCATGGGCACTTGGTCGGGCCTGGCGCCTGCCTCCGGGGTCTCTTGCTGCTGCTCCTCATCGCCGAGGCGCTCTGGGGCCCTGGAGGCCTTGTCGCCCTTGGCCGTCCCGGGGGCGGCGTGGCCTCGGCCTACAGAGCTCTCGGGGCCGTCGGCGACGCTCAGGCCTCGCGCCCTCCCTTCAGGCGCTCTCCGCTCCCGGGCGGGAGGCAGTTGCGGCTGCAGGTGGTGGTGGCAGCGAGGCAGGCGGGAATATTTCTGGGAGAAGCGCTTCAGCTGCTTCTGCAGGTATTTCCTATGGTCCACGGATCGGCGGCAGGGGGCTGACTTGTCCAGGGCGGCCTTGATATCGCTCGAGGCCAAGTTGACGAAGTTGAGGAGGGTTTTCACCTCGCTATCTGCGGAAGCCATCGCTCACCCCGGCCACGAATACGAAAAGGGCCCGTCCATGAAAGAGTTGGCTCCCTGAGAGCCGGCACGCGCCTGGGCCAGGCTAACCCGAGCGACGGTCGGTTCGTGTAGGCTAAATTGGACGACGGGGAAGGTTTATCCTTGGCAGAAACATCGTGCCGTTTTTCCCAGGCGGAAAATGGGTGACAAAGACAGGTAGGTAGGCACGCACGTGCATTTCACTCAGATTGTGCTTTCACACCATACTGAATGCCTCCAAAAGATCAAAATGCGCTGCATCTTCCCCAGCTTGATTTTCTCTGGTAAGGAAAAAAAATGGGAAAAGCAATCAGGAATCATTGGAAGGGTACAGATAAAAAATAGTCATGGCTGGACTTCCCATGAAATGAGAGGATGAGGCAGAGTGAATGCCTGATAAAGACCTTGTCTAGAAGTATCTATTGTTAGGGATGCAAATGCCTTTTTGAATCTTTCGGTGCATGTGTTTGCCTCCAGTAATGCTGAAGTGGCTAACTCTGTGCTTTTGATCTTATAAAAGTTATAGTATAGTACATTTTAAAGTCCTTAAAAAGTTTTTTTTTATTGTTCACACAGTGTTACATTCAGTTTAACCACAGTGTAAATGCAGTATAAAAAAAGCCCCTTCCACACTCTATCCTCTCATTATTGACATTCCACATGTTTAGATAAATAGGGCAACAAAGACCAAAATGCATTTTTACTGTCACACATGACAATACCTGAAGAAATAACACATTTCTTTTCACACATCTGTAATGATCATATCCATATAATACTCAGCTCTGCACAAACATACACAATTTTAACACCATCAATTACAGTTTCACATATACCCTCAAAACTCTTCTAACTTAGTAGTGCAATTGTATAAACTATTATGTATTCAGTGGATCCAGGTAAGCATGTCTAGGATTTCAGTCTTTAGATGCCTAAATATTCTCATTCTCTTACTCTGTCTTTCTCTCACACATTCAATATACACACACATACACTCGAAAATATACTGGTCACAAAGGCAAACCTGCAGAAGTGAGACAAACATTTGGTTCAAATAATTAATGTATTCAGTATAGACATTGTCTCAAATGCTTTCCTCTCCTGCAGGATCATGATCTCTCCAAAGATCTTGCAGTACTGTATGCATATTTCTTTACAGTTATCCTACAAATTTACAGCTTAACAATGCAATTATATCATATGTACAGTCATTAATATATCAATACCTCAGTATATTCTGTTTCCCTTATTCCAGTCTTATATTTGCTATGACTGTGGCCCCACTACTTAATCTTACTAGACAGGTAGCATTTAACCTTTGAGTAGATATCTATGCATCACTTTCATGGCACTCCAAGTTAAATTACACCCTTCCCAGCAAGATTATCTCTTAAACATTGAGTGTTACTGTAACTCTGTGGTAGAGAAGAAGCAGCTCACCAGCTAATCTTGTTACATAGGTTAGATACTACCAACCTTTAGAGAAGCAGCCGGACCCTGTGAGTGTTTTGCAGCACTTGAGTAAGCTGAATGAATATCAAGCCCTTCTAGTTAGGAGGCTTTCTCAGGCCAATCAGAAGCCACTTTGACAAATACAAAGCATCCCAATCAGGCATTAGGCTCCCTGTTCTCACATTCTTTGCCATCACAAATTGTCACCATGGGGACAGCCACAGAAAGACAGCTAATAAATACGATCATTTCCCTGTGATTCCTACCATTCTTTCTGTTCCAGCCCCCTCCCCCTTTTTTTTTTAAACACAATCAAACATGATATGCTGAGGATGAGTAAAGAAAGCTTGTTGAGGCTCTTTTCTCTAAACTACTCCAAAGCTGTCTGAAGACTGGCAGTAACCATGCTTGAGTAACACTGGACAATGCTAGTTTGGAAGACCTGGCTAGCCTACTTTTTAAACTGTTCTTGATCAGGCCTTTTTCCCCACTTAAAGGGAGGGTGATGTCAGAAAAAGGTAAGAAAAGAACAAATCTCTAAAGAGATGTGCAGATATCCATGGAAAAGGAGCTTGAGCGCTCAAGAATCTTGTCTTTATGTTTGCCCCCTCAATTGAGCCACACAAAAGCTGAATTACCCATTCAAACTACCCTGACAAAAGGATGGAGTTGGATAGTACTCTTGCATCTGTAGTCAAACAGTTAGAGACTTAAATCGAGTCGTCATGATGGAGAAAGAGTTAGACAAAGCCCATAGAATTGCCATCAGCAAACATTTTCCTGTGTCATATTAGTGGGTCTCCATGACTCCCCCTGGCCTGGGGACAATAGCACAAGTTTGCACACTCGACTACTGTCACCCTGCCAACGCTGGCAATGAGCAGAAACAGGACAATCCTTTAAGGGGAAAGCATGCCCACTGCAGGGAAGGTAAGAAGAGAGGGAAGAAAAGCATGTGAAATGCTAATTGAGCTGCTTCCTTTATTGATTCAGAGTTATGTGAGTCCTCATCCTCCTTGCAGAGTTGTCCTTAGGGGTGGCAATAACTTAATAGCATGCTAAAGCGTTGAGTCCCACACTGTGGGTTATCCCCACAGAGGTCTTTAAGAATAGGAAAGGAGAGGGAGAATTGCCCTGAGTGAATTTCAGAAATGCTAGACATTCAGGAATAAAGCCAACTAGCAATGCAGTATATCCAGTCACAACCAAGGTTGGAGCAGATACAAGTCCAGTTGTTGCCAATTTTAGCACAAACACTGGAACTTCTGCATAAATATAGTTAAATTCTAGTTCTAGAAAGGTCATCCCTTTCAAGGCAATCACTTGTCAGTTCATATTTCTACAGGAAAAAAACTAGACTGAATATTGAAATGATATCTTGGAAGAACACTGACACAACAACAACAAGAACAGCAGCAAGATCCTATCCTTATTTATTGACAAGTAAATCTCACTGACATATGTGGGACTTATTTCTAAAGAATCAGACACTGAATTGCAATACTAGATTTTGTAAACAGCTAAGCAAATAAAGTGACCCTTAGGGTATGTATAATTTTGGATGTTTAAAATCTATCGTAATTCTGTAAGTACAAGTATTTCACTGATTTATATATTCCTCCTTAGAAGACTGTCTTACTGTAAAATAGCTTGCAATTTGAATAGTCTAAAGTAAATTAAGAATCAACAGACAAAATAATTTTGAAATGTTAAGAAACTGTGCATTGACATGCTGATCTAAGATTGGCACTAAAAATACATTTCATTTCTCTGCTTACCAGGAAGAAAAATAACCTGAATAATTTCAAACAACTTCAGTTGTTATTTGAATGTTTTAAAAATTTTTCTCAGATCCCTTTATTTTTGTAAAAACATATCCCAAAAGAATTTTAAAAGTTACATAATGTATCTGTGAATGCTGTTTCAATCAGATGTTTTATGAGAAAAAAATCAAAGTCCTTAAGATCCTTTGTAGTGTCTTTGCAGATAATTAAAATAATACTAATGAAGATCATCAGATAAGGGTTGGTGATTGCTGGCTGTACATTCTTTGCAACAGAATCTCTGTGATAATAAAACTCTCTGGTAAATAATCTGATTTCTGTGAAACTCAGGAAAACTCTACACAAAAATAACAGGTTATTTCTTTTAGTGCTGATTGAAAGTTGTGTAAAAGCTATATGACTGGAACATTTCTGCAATCAGGCAGCTGCCAACATAGCAGCTGGTAGAATAGATTTTGGAAGTCACAGTAACTTGAATAAATACAGATTGCACCAAACTATGCTGGAAACAAATTGCCAGTAGTTTCATTCATTAATTACAAGAACTTTTCTATTTCTGCAGCGTAAACCAGATATTGGTGGTGGTTGTAGTAGTAGTAGTTGTTGTTAATCTGAATGTGGTGGAAGAAAGCTAACAAGTTTTAAAGGACTTTAAATAAGGAAAAATCCATTCTTAAAATCAGATTTTCTGCAATCTTTTCAGCATTTTTTTCACCACCAGTGACCCCCAGATGGAAGATGTAGTTCAGTCAAACAGATGCTTATTTTTGCAGACTTGCTTCAAAGCAGTCTTTCTCAAATTTGCCCAGAAGCTTATCTAGCTACTGCAAAAATATAGGCAATAGATTTATTTGTCCTTTCTCTCCCAGAGAGAGCATCAATAGACATGTCTTGGCTACTTGCTTTTGCCTTGGCAGATGCAGGAAACTAAGTATTTTAATAGTGGAGGGCCTCTTTTACCGTTCATATTGCAAACAGAGAGACAACAAGCCCTTTGGAGAAAGTGACTGAGATACATAACTATGTGTACATGTGTGTAAAAACTATGAACTGTAGGGGTTTTGTAAATTTTTTTGAGGCTAGTTTTAGTCTCAGGTCTCTAGTTACCCATCCTTAGATCCCGTCAGACTTTTTTTTCCAAATGCTGGTTAAATTTTGTTATATTAAATTATTTACTATTTACATATATAACAAGCTGATATAAACAAGTTTCCAAGTATTATAGACATAAAAATAATAATAACAATAGGAAATCTTAAAATATAGCAATGATTGAAATATACCAGAAACAAAGAAAACAGAAAACACCAAGTCAGCCTAATAAAATACAATAAATTAGTAACTAAAAAGGATATAGAAAATTTTATTTGTTTGCTTAGTTGTTTGTTTTCTTACTTTAATTTTTATATTATTTCAATCTGACTCTTATTGGGTTCATTTTTAAAAAAAAAAAATAGATTGAAAAAGTACAAAAAATTAAAACAGATTCAGAAGCCATGGGACAGCAGAAAAAAAATTGTGGATCATGGAAGACAAATAATACTGGAGCCAAGCGAATGTCCTGAAACAAGGACCATTCTCTCAAGGAGTCACCAGTCTCATAGACTTCTCTCTAAGAGCCTCCCTCCAGACTTCATGCAAGAGATACTTAGACAAGGATCTTTGCAGGTATTAGCATAATAAATTTACACCACTTGGTTTCACTTAAAACTCTCACTGCCATTTTACATACCAGTTTTAGTTTCT